GCAGATCCGGGTGCAGGCTGCCGTTGCTCGGGTGGCGATCAGGTGTTGCTCAGTGATGGGGATGTGTCCTGAGCAGTGTGTCATTAGGTGGTTTCATTTTGTGTGAGCACCACAAGGGCACTCACGCCCAGATGGCACAGCCTTGTACACACCGAGGCAGTGTGGCACAGCCATCGCCTGAGGTGACAAACCACAGCTGTCATCCACTTCACAACGGAAGCTGTTGTGACATGATGCTAAGTGTGTGTCTCAACACAAAAGGTTGTCCTAGGAAAGGCACCGTAGAAATGTGGCATAAAAAATGCCACATCTGTGTAGGGTGCTTACCACAAGCGGGTCTGCAGGACTGGGGGTGGCTCTGGCCAGGCAGTGAGTGAGTGAGTGGTGAGCAGTGGGTGAGTGGTGGGTGAGGGGTGAGTGAGGGCTGAGTGGTGGGTGAGTGGTGAGCGGTGGATGGTGAGTGATGGGTGAGTGGTGGGTGAGTGGTGGGTGAGGGGTGAGTGGTGGGTGAGTGGTGAGTGGTGGGTGAGCGGTGAGTGAGCGGTGAGTGGTGAGTGAGTGGTGAGTGATGGGTGAGAGGTGGGTGAGCGGTGGGTGAGTGGTGAGTGGTGGGTGAGTGATGATTGGTGGGTGAGAGGTAGTGGTGGGTGAGGGGTGAGTGGTGGGTGAGAGGTGAGTGATGGGTGAGAGGTGGGTGAGTGGTGAGTGGTGAGCGGTGGGTGAGTGGTGGGTGAGAGGTGGGTGAGTGATGGGTGAGTGGTGGGTGAGTGGTGAGTGGTGAGCGGTGGGTGAGTGGTGAGTGGTGGGTGAGTGGTGAGCGGTGAGCGGTGGGTGAGTGGTGGGTGAGAGGTGGGTGAGTGGTGGGTGAGTGGTGGGTGAGTGGTGAGTGGTGGGTGAGTGGTGGGTGAGTGGTGAGTGGTGAGCGGTGGGTGAGTGGTAAGCGGTGGGTGAGTGGTGGGTAAGTGGTGGGTGAGAGGTGGGTGAGTGGTGGGTGAGTGGTGAGTGGTGAGTGGTGGGTGAGTGGTGAGTGGTGGGTGAGTGGTGAGTGGTGGGTGAGTGGTGAGTGGTGGGTGAGTGGTGAGTGGTGGGTGAGAGGTGGGTGAGAGGTGGGTGAGTGGTGGGTGAGTGGTGAGTGGTGGGTGAGTGGTGAGCGGTGGGTGAGTGGTGAGCGGTGGGTGAGGGGTGAGTGATGGGTGAGCGGTGGGTGAGTGGTGAGTGGTGGGTGAGGGGTGAGTGGTGAGCGGTGGGTGAGTGGTGAGCGGTGGGTGAGTGGTGGGTGAGTGGTGAGTGGTGGGTGAGCGGTGGGTGAGTGGTGGGTGAGTGGTGAGTGGTGGGTGAGTGGTGGGTGGTGAGTGGTGAGTGGTGGGTAAAGGTGGGTGAGTGGTACGTGAGTGGTGGGTGAGTTGTGGGTGAGTGGTGAGTGTTGGGTGAGGGGTGGGTGAGTTGTGGATGAGTGGTGGGTGAGAGGTGGGTGAGCGGTGGGTGAGTGGTGAGTGGTGAGCTGTGGGTGAGTGGTGAGTGGTGGGTGAGGGGTGGGTGAGTGGTGAGCGGTGGGTGAGTGGTGAGGGGTGGGTGAGTGGTGGGTGAGTGGTGGGTGAGTGGTGAGCGGTGGGTGAGTGGTGAGTGGTGGGTGAGTGGTGGGTGAGTGGGAAGTGTGACTGTGCTCACATACTCTGTGGACCCCAGGCATGTGGCACACGCCTGTCCTCTTAGCGCTTTGGGGACCTGAGATGGGAGGACTGCTTGAGGTCAGGAGTTTAAGACCAGCCTGGCAACATAGTGAGACACCCCGTCTCTACAAAGAAATAATGAGCTGGGTATGGTGGTACATGCCTGAGGCCCCAGCTCCTCAGGAGGCTGAGCTTGGAGGACTGCCTGGGCATGGGAGGTGGGCATTGCAGAGTGACGATCACTCTCCTGCGCTCCAGCCTGGGTGATGAAGGGGACCCTGTCTCAGAAAAACAAAACAAACAAACGTTACTCTGTGGAAATGGTTCTTCTCCTTTCACAGCCAGTCCTCCCTGGCCTTGGTGGGGGTTGTGTTCATCCCTCTCTGGCTTGAGTGTGTGTCGGGGGACTGTTGCGGGGCCCTGTTATACTCCCTGTCTTGGGGGGACTGGGGGGGTCCCTGTTATACTCCCTGCCTCGGGGCTGGGGGTGGTCCCTGCTATACTCCCTGTCTTGGGGGGACTGGGGGGGGTCCCTGCTATACTCCCTGCCTTGGGGGGGACTGGGGGGTCCTGCTATACTCCCTGCCTTGGGGGGACTGGGGGGTCCTGCTATACTCCCTGTCTTGGGGGGGCTGGGGGGGCCTGCTATACTCCCTGTCTTGGGGGGACTGGGGGGTCCCTGTTATACTCCCTGCCTCAGGGGGGCTGGGGGGGGTCCCTGCTATACTCCCTGCCTCGGGGGGACTGGGGGGGGTCCCTGCTAATACTCCCTGCCTCCGGGGGACTGAGGGGACCCTGCTATACTCTGCCTCAAGGGGACTGGGGGGGGTCCCTGCCTTACTCCCTGCCTGGGGTGTTCTGGTAGGAGTGGAGAAATAGTTTTCTGTCTGTTTCCTGCTCTAGTTCCCAGCTGGCACGGACCCTGTAGCTAAAGACAGGTTAACAGGAGAAACACAGGCTCCTCAACATGCCCGTTTCACAGCCACCTGGGAGCCACGGGAATGAGTGATTCTCAAACAGGTGGCATGAATTCAGGCCCACATGGCCTCTCAACCAACAGTCATGATTTAGGGATGTCACAGGCAGGACGTGGACTGAGTCTCCAGGTGGCATCTCAGAGGGGGCACGGAGTGGCAGAGGACGGCAGGGCCTGAGGTGCCTTTACCTTTGTCTGTGCTGGTGGAGGGAGGGGCCTTTCCCGTAACTCCTGTTGTACTCTCAGGCAGCGCTTGAGTGGGGGGAGCTTGTCTTGGACCTGCCGCTTCTCAGTTGCCTTCACCCCAACATGGCACAGTTTGGGGTGGTGCGTCCTGGTTTGCCTCTGGGGCCCCTCCTCAGTGTCCAGCTCTGCATTAAAAGCCGCTGTTCTCGTCCTGGCAGCCCTTGAGCTGGTTTCTGGCTCCCTCTCCTGCTGGCCTGGAGGTGTGGTGGGGTCCTCACTTGGCCCTGACACCGGCTTTGCCCAGCCTCTCTGAGCCATGACCTTCTTGATCTCTGAAGTCAGAAGAGGGGGTTGTGCCTGGGCCGGGCCAGAGGCAGGGTCTGTTGGGAGAGTTCTGAGAGCCACTGCCCTGGGGGCTCAGTGTGGGGTGAGTGGACTAGAGGGGAGATGGTGGGGGGCTGGGGCACTGTCCCTGGGGCAGCTCCAGGGACGGTGTCTGCAGGATGGGGGTGTCTAATAGAGCTGCCCTGGGGCAGTGACTGTGGGGGTGGGCGTCCAGATAGAGCTGCCCCAGGGGCAGTGACTTTGGGGGATGGGGGGCAGGCATCCGGAAAGAGCTGCCCTGGGTGCCACTGTGGACCCCTCTGTCTGACCAGGTGCTGGGGGTACAGACTGGGAGACTGTCCTGGGCTCTTCCAGGTCAGGACGGAGGCAGTGGCAGGTGGTCTCTCATGTGGTCACTCTCGGCTCGGGGAGATGGGAGCCCTGGGCTGGCCTCAAGCGGAGGGCGTAGGAAGTAGTCGGGAAGAACTTGGGTAGAGAAGCAGGGAGAAGCCCAGGTAGCAGAGGTCCCAGAGCAGGTGTTGGCATGTCCAGGGCAGGTGTCATGAGGGTGAGGCTCAGCCAGGGGTGTCTTGGAGTTGCTGGGGAGGGGATCTCAGGAGGGGCTGTTGGGGGAGGAGTGGGGTCCTGGAGGCTGCCCTGCCCAGCCTGACCCGAGTGCCCTTGTCCTTCCAGGAGACGGTAACCTACACCTCAACGTGACGGCGGAGGCCTTCAGCCCATCACTCCTAGGCGCCCTGGAGCCTCACGTGTATGAGTGGACGGCCAGGCAGCAGGGCAGCGTCAGCGCGGAGCATGGCGTGGGCTTCAGGAAGAGGGACGTGCTGGGCTACAGCAAGCCACACGAGGCCCTGAAGCTCATGCAGCAGCTCAAGGCCCTGCTGGACCCCAAGGGCATCCTCAACCCCTACAAGACGCTGCCCAGCCAGGCCTGACGGCCACTCCCATCACTGCCAGGGCCCACTGGGGGTCAGCAATGGCTCTCGGGGAGGGAGTGTTGTGCTGGCTCTGAGGGCTGAGCTGGCAGTGGGTAGGGGACTGTGGCCCACACTGGGAACTGCAAGACGCAGGCCCTCTGCAGGAGTGTCTGGCAGAGCTGGGAGTGGGACAGACTCCCTCCTTTGTAGGCAGGGCGAGGGGAGGCCTCTGCTGCCGTCCTGACCTGTTGGGGTGGCATCAGCTTTGCCTGCACAGAAGTGGAACTGGGTCTCACTTGCCTGGCAGGGGGGTGTCTGGCTCTGCCTCGCTTGCCAAAGCTCTGAGGCACTGGGTGGTTCTGCTGTTTGCTGCTGGTGGGTAGTCGGGGGCTGTGGGCAGGGCCACGTAGGCCATGACCCTGGTTGCCGAGATGACCCAGGCACTGAGGCTCTGCTGAATGGATCCAGGTCCCACAGGCTGTGGGTGCCCTTGGGAGGGGTGATGGTGGCTGGTGTCTGGGCCCGAGTGACAGGAACGTGTCATTTCCTCCGTCTTCTAGAGGGCCTGCCGGCTGGGAAGAGTTACCAGGGCGAGCTGTGCTCTGAGTCTCAGGCTCTGCTTCTTACAGAGAGTGTGCGGAGGCGTGAGTGAGGGCCACTGCAGAGCGCTTCAGCCGGCCAGCAGCCCTGGCAGCCGTGGGCTGTGCAACACACTTGGAGGCACCTCTGCTTCTGTTGTGAATGTCCAGTAAAAATCTGAACTGGCTGCAACCTTCCCTATGCTTTTGTCAGTGGGAAATCATCTTGCGAAGCCCGTCTGGAAGTGCCTATGCATCCCGTTCCCAAAACCCCTGGGCCGCTGGGGCCCTAGTGTGGCCAGGGCCTGGCCCTAATGTGACTGCCGCTGTGCTCTCCCTGCCGCTGTCTCCATGCACTGCCCTGGTGGTGGCTGAGCTCCTGCAGGCTGCACGGGGCAGGCCTGGACGTGGAGTGGGCACCTTGTGGCTCCTGGTGGCCCTGGAGGCCCTCAGCGGCTGGGCCTGTCCAAGGTGGATCCACAGGCCCCTCCTGTCCCTGTGGGCATCAAGGCTCTTGGATCCTGCTCAGAGGTGGAAACGTGCAAAAGAAATGCAGGAATTCCACACCGCCCAACCTCAGCCTGAGAGGTTCTGACAAAGCTGCAGCCACGTGGAAAGCAATGAAAACAGGTGGGGAGGAAGGCGGGTTTGGACCTTGCATTCCTTACACAGCAGCTCCGGCCAGGCGTGTGCTGACCCCATTCCGTCCGCAGCGGCTCCAGCCAGGGTCTTGGGGTTTGAAGGTGCTGAGGGGCGGCCTTTGTGTTCGGATTAGAAGCTGGTAATTGTCACATTAAGAACTAAGCTCCTGCAACCTGAGAAGATGTTACACAACCAGGGCCCCTGGGCTGAGGCCGAGGAGGGGGCCCAGGAAGGGTCAGAGCTGCCTGTGTACAGCTCCGGAGAGGGAAGAAGGTGCAGGCCTCGTGGCCTCAGCCCCAGGGGAGTGGAGTGTGGGTAGGGAACTGCCTGCCCCTCCCACCCCACCCATCCCAGGACAGCTGGCCCCTGGGAGCGCCCTTGGGAAAGCCAATCTCCTAAGCAGAAGGGCAAGTGGTTGGGATCCAGGGGTGTCTGTTGGTTGTGGACTCAGGGCCCAGAGGAAGGGTTTAGGGCTCCTGTGGCCCTGCAGGCCCAGGAGGATGTCCATAGGACCCTGGCTGTGGGAGGCAGAGATGACAGGCCTGCCTGGGCCCAGATGGCAGGCATATAACCAACCAGTGACCAGAGCTTGCCCACCTGTCCTGGTGCGTCAGCCTCCTAGCAATGGGCTTCATGCTGGCTGCTCTCCAGAGCTCTTGGGGTTCAGGCCCTGTCCCGCTGCCTCTGGGCACCTATGATCTGCAAAGGCCCTACCCCTGGCCTGTGTCCCTGACTGTCTGGGACCCTGAAGTTGCCTGTGTGGTATCTGTGTCCACCCCGCCCAGGCGACGCAGAGGAATGGAAAATAATCCTACCTCAAGGAGCTGGTCCATTGCCTGGCGTGGTGACTCACACCTGGAATCCTAGCACTTTTGAGAGGCCGAGGTGGGAGGATCGCTTGAGCTCAGAAGTTTGAGAGCAGCCTGGGCAACACGTGCTGAGACTCTTTCTCTGCAAAAAATTAGAGTTTAGCCAGGCATGGTGGGACGCACCTAGAGCTCCAGGTACAGGAAGTTCCCACAGGGGAGGTTAGGGTTCCAGCTGCAGGAGGCCTCGGCTACAGGGAGCCCCACATGATTGCACCACTGCACTCCAGCCTGGGGACACAGCAAGACCCCCAAATAAAAAGCCGGTCAGAGAGGTTGAGAGCAAACAGCTGCTGGAATGAGGCATTGGCTGGTGGGGGAGGGCGGGGCCCTCGGGAGAGACCGGGAGCTTGAGTTGAGGGTTGGAGGCAGGTGGAAGGACCAGGGCTCCTGGGGCTGTCTTGGGAGCCCTCCTGATACCCAGGCCCCGGGCCAGTTTCCTCCTGGTGGAACATCCCAGACCTGAGCCCTCCTGCCCACTTTTCCATGGACCCACACACAAGGAGCTGGGGTGGCCGGCTGCCCCCAGGCTGAGGCCCTGGGCCAGGCCCCTACTGGCTTTAGTAGATGGTCAGACCTAGGGCAGGCACGAGCGCTTGGCCATGCTCCCCGATGCTGCCTGTTGGACCTCAGTGGGGAGGACAGACCAGGGCAGGGCCCAGGAGGCCACAGGGCCCAGTAGGCATGGTGGTCCTGGCAGCCTCACATTCAAGGGCTCTGCCCTCCTGTGCCCACCCATGGAGGGCAAGTCCCTATAGGGAGCATAGGCCCTGTCTCCCCACCTGCCTTTCTGGATGGCAAGAGTTGCTGTGAAGTTTCTAGATGGCAGACAGGTGAGGAGGTGCCTCCTGGGTGTGCCCAGGCGTGGCCTGACAGGGCTGGGGTCCTGCTGGGCTGTCTGCTCCCGTGCCTGGGGCAGGTCCTCAGGTAGCCTCGTGGCTTCTGCTTCGCCCCCTCCCCACTGGCCTGTGCCAGCGGCTGTGCACAGAGGCCACAGTGGCCAGGAAGCAGTGTGATAACTCCCTTTGTTTCTGGTGAAGTGTGCGGTGCCTGGAGCCACCTTCCCGGGTTCCATGGCCCTGGGACCCAGGGGACAGGGAGGAGACGGTGCGGGGATGGTGCAGGGACGGTGCATGGCGGCCAGGGATGCTGGGCGTCACTGGGGAACAGTGAGAACCGTTCTTCCTGGTAGTGAGGGTTCCCGGGCTGGGGGTGTGCACGCGGGCAGGTGGGTGGCCCTGGATGGTGGAGGATGGGCAGAAGGAGTCCTGTGGGGAACCCCCTCCTGCCAGCCCCTGGCCGACCCACAGTCCACTCCACTGCCTGCCCCAGGACAGGAGACTTGCTTTCTGCAGCCCTGGACCTGGGATCTGAGACCCAGAAGCTGACTCCATCCTTTGTCTGCTGTATTCTGAGTTAGGGTACCCTTGCCCCTGCCCCTAGGTGGCCCTGGGCTCGCCCACCCGCCCTCAGTGCGGCTGAAGAGGGAAACGAGCATTTGTCCTGCCCATTCCTGGCTGCTCCCCGCCGGCCTTGGGTCTCTGGGTGTGGCCCTCCCAGTGGGACCAATGCTGATGGAGACGGGTTCCTGGGCACGTGGAGCTGTCCCTTACACAAAGCGGCTGAGGGGCCTCTGGCCAGCACCCCGCGGGTTAGGGCTCTGCCATGGGTGTGTGCATCTGCTCCGACAGAACGTGTGCATCTGACTGGCGTTCCTGAGTCACCGTGGACCAGGGGCCTGACAGAGCAGCTGATTCCTATCGGGGAGCTGGGGCCAGGCCTCCTGTCTCTCTGGGCCTCCTGGCAGAGCCCCACTGGTCACAGGCAGCCTCCTCCTTCTGGCTGCTGGGTCTCTGTCCCTTTCCCTCTGTGGCTGGGCCTAGGGCTGGGACCACTACTCCACTCCACGCTGCACTGTCCCTGTCTGCCCCTGGAGGGGTGGTTGAAGGTGGCTGACAGCTGAGGACCCCCCCCAACGAGGCCCACCCTTCTTGCTCAGGCCCCATAAGTCACTTGGAGTCTGGGGAGCTGGGGACTTGGACCCAGGAGGGAGGTGCCTGGCTGTGAACCTCAGGCGTGTGTCCCTGGGCATGTCGCTGCCCACCGGCCCCACTGTCTGTAACGTGCAGCTTGGCCAAGGGGATTCTGGGGTCAGGACCCATGAGGTGCCATCTGCTTTGCTCCTGGGCTGAGCCTGTGTCAGGCTGGGTGGAAGGAGCCGGGGAGGCTCCCTAACGGGGGAGTGAGATCCCACACAGATGTCTCTGGAAAGTGGAATGTGGAGGGCGCAGGGCGCGCCGGGTGGAGAGATGCCCAGCCGTGCCAGCGAGGCCCCGCATCCTCCCGCCTGCCATGAGCACTGGGAGCGGCTCTGCCGGCCACTCCTGCAGACTTGGGCCAAGGAGGTCGACAGAGCAGCTGGAGGGAGATGCCCAGGCAGGGGCGGGGACTCCAGGCCCCTGGGCTGCAGGTGCAGGTAAATGGAGAAGGGAGGCTGGGGGCACTGGGCCTCTGCAGGCAGCCACACAGCAGGGCTGGGTCCCGGTGGGAGGGGCTGTGCAGAGCTCCCTCCAGGGGGTGTCCCAGCCACCCAGCCCAGGTGTCTGATGCCAGGGAGTCCATGTCTGCTCGGCCCCTCCTCCCAGCCCCTCAGCCACCTTGTTTCTGCCCCTGTGGCTAGGGGGCCTGAGCCAGGCCCTTGCTGGGGCAGGGAGGCCAGCTTGGGCTGGGGCCAATCCCAGAATCCAGGCTGGGTTGGCACCGGCAGGGAGGGGTGGTGGGATGGTGGCCGGTGTGTGGAGAGCGTGTTGGAGGGCATGGTGGGCACTAGGGCCTCGGGAGGCAGCCAGGGCGGCACAGTTCGTGGCCTGTAGCTCCGTGGAGCATCTGCGCTTTTCCCTGGATTCACTCTAGCTCTTGGCCACAATGTTGCCGCATGTCTGTGACTGCTTGTCTCAGAGTTATATCTGTTTCTTGAAGAGAGAAATGAACTTTCATGCAGTAAAATCTAAACGAATTTTTGTATTTATTTTCCACTTCCGTGTCCTGTTTCAAAACTTATTGTCCAGCCCAAGATTTTAAAAAGTCGGATTTTCATCTAGTGTAAAGCAGGCTCAGGAAGAGGAGGAGGAGGGGAGGAAGCAGGGGAATCCGGCTGGGTTTCCTTGCTCATCCTCGCAATGGCCGCCTGGCCCTCGGCCCTCTTGTCCGTGTCTGGCCCTGAGTTCAGAAGCCCTTGCTGTGCTGTTGGGGCCCACCAAATCCGTCCCTTGTGGGGACAGCTCCCTCCAAGCCCCCTAGGGATGGACCCTGAGGGTGGGGTGGGGGAGCAGGGGGCAGCCCCTGGGCAGGTCCTCCCAGGCCTGGTGAACACAGAGGCCCATCCAGGGCGCCCCAGACTCCCTCAGCCAGTTCTTCCCGAGAACAGAACAGTTAAGCCCAAGCCCTGGATGGAGGTGTGGGGAGAGGGCGTGGCTCCCGCCCCGGCAGGCAGGTGAGCGGCTGGGGATTCAGTTCACTCTGCCCCACAGCCTCACCCCACCTGTGCCTGCGTCTCGGGGAGCTCAAGCCTCGGCTGTCCCCTCACTGGATGCCTGGGGCCAAGATGATGTCCACACTGGGTGGCTTGCAGAGGTAAGGGGGGCAACTGGGCCCTCCCGGGTGGACAGAGCTCTTGACCTCTGGATATTCGGAGACTGACAGAAGTGAGCTTCGTGTTTGTCTCTCAAAGGCAGTTACTCGGATTCGGAGGCTTTTGCTTCTCACGCTTCCCTCAGTTCACCGGCTGCGGCTTCATTTCGGAAGTAGGGGGGCCCCTCCTGCCCAGGCCTGGGGCTGGTTCTGGGTATTTGGGGGTTCTTGGATGTGGGCCCCATGAGAAAGCTAAACGAATACTGCGACATGGAGACGCTCGGGGGATGGCCAAGGAGGGCAAGACCTGGTGGGCTTGGGACGTCCTGGTCTTGGTCCGCGACTCAGGCCCATGGTTGGGCCGTGTTGGTGGGAGTGCCTGGTGCTTGTTGGGACGTCAGCTGTGTGTGTGCTTTAGGATGGTCTTGCAGCTCTGGGTGGTGACGGGGAGGTTGGGCTCTGCTGTGTTATCTCCCTTCTATAAACAGGGAGGAGGTGGATTTCTTCCCAGTTGGGTTTGGAGGGGAGGTGGGTGTGGCTAGAAATGCCTTGCATTTTCCTTCTCCTGCTCGCCATCCTGCTGGGGTTTTCAGGGCAGTTTGAAGCTGTCCCTGCCCTTGCAGGTCCCGGCCTCCCCAGGGCATGTGCCGTCATGAATTCATCACCTTCCTTTAAGGGGTGACTTAGGACCAGCTGCTGGGACCCTGGCTGAGGAACCTGTCTCAGGGCTGAGAGGTGTGTGGCCTGCTGCCTGGCCTGGGAGTCCTAGGAGTCCTCTCCTGTGGACGTTGTGACCACATTGTGAAGAGGAGGCCCAGGGGCTGGGGGATCAGGCTTGATTAGCTGGGGCCACCTGAGGTCGGCCAGAGTGGGTGTGCCTGACCCCAGCTGAGACTGGGCGAGACCTGGGAGGCACTGTGGCCGAGGGTCCCAGGGGGAGGCCAGGGCACAGACTCCTCGGCCCCTGGTCTCAGTGCCTGGCAGGGTGGGCTCCCTGTGGTGGTCCCCCCAGGCTGCAAGTCCCATGCTGTGGCCAGGAGCATTGGCTCCGCGTGTCCCTGGCTCCGCTGAACACAGGGCTGTGTGCGCCGTCCCCCAGAGGGAAGCCCCGAGTCACTTTCCACAGCCCTGGACAGCAGCCTTCCTGAGCCTCGTATGTGTATGCCTGAGATTGGGCAAGTGTGGGAGGCTCACTTTGCTTGGCCCAGCTTGTGCGGCCTGTGGACAGAAGGATCCTGTGGACAAAGGGGATGGTGATGGGTGGTGCAGCCAGGCAGGTGCCTTGCCCACCCGGTGGTTCAAGGAGCTGCCCAGAGCCAAGGAGAGACTTTGCTCTGAGGAGGGACGCCAGCGAGGCCCAGTCTTAACCACCGGCCATGGTAAATCCACGCTGTCAGGCAAAGTGCCCACTTGGGTCCTTGCCGATCCTTTGTTTTGCTGGCTGGCAATGATTCAGGCACCAGACTCTGAGCTATAGCAAGGTTTGGGGCAATTTAACTTGGGGGAGTTGCCTCCCTGGGGTGTGGCTAGGTATCTTTGGTGGGGAGGGGACTCATGAACAGAGAAGATGTGATACAGAGCCCATGGGGCCACCATGCCAGAGTGAACACCCAACATTTGAGACAGGTCTCAATTTAGAAAGTTGATTTTGCCAAGGTTGAGGACACACACCGGTGACCCAGCCTCAGGAAGTCCTGATGACGTGTGTCCAAGGTGGTCAGAGCACGCTTGGTTTTATACATTCCCGGGAGACATGAGACATCTCAGCATATGCAAGATGAACATTGGTTCTGTCTGGAAAGGTGGCAAGGCTGGAAGACCGGAGGCTTCCGGAGGGAGCTTCCAACTCAGAGGTACTTAAGAGATAAATGGTTGTGATCTTTTGAGTTGATTTCAGCCTCTCCAAAGGATACTTTATTCCTAGATGGTCAGGTCCTGAGTTACTAGGAAAGCTCATTTTTTAGCAGGTTGTGAAGCCTCATGTCTTAGGAAGAGAAATCAGGGGAATAAAGGGAGAAAAACAACAACAAACAAAAGAAAAATCCTGAAAAATCAATATAGGCCACACCACTCTGAAGTCCATACACCAGCAGGCAGGCATGAAAGTGGCTTGTGTATGTAAACAGATTTCTGTTATTTTTTTCTGGAGTTTAAATTGTCTGTCTTACTCCAAATTAGGAAAAATAGGAAAAAAAAAAATTGAAAACATTATTTTGAAGACTTGTAGCCAAGAAAAATTACAATTTGGTCCAAACTGTAGAAAATAGTAAAAATTTTAAAAAGTCAGGCAAGACTAGAATCTAAAAACAAGTGTACTATAGTTTTTGAAACATAATTTTTTGGCCGGGCAGGGTGGCTCACGCCTGTAATCCCAGTACTTTGGGAGGCTGGGGTGGATGGATCACAAGGTCAGGAGTTTGAGACCAGCTTGGCCAACATGGTAAAACCCCATCTCTACTAAAGATAAAAAAATTAGCTGCGTGTGGTGGTGCACACCTGTAATCCCAGCTACTCAGGAGGCTGAGGCAGGAGAGTCGATTGGACCTGGGAGTTGGAGGTTGCACTGAGCTGAGATTGTGGCACTGGACTTCAGCCTGGGTGACAGAGCAAGACTCCATCCCCAAAACAAAACAAAACAAAACAAAAACAAAAAAAGAAACATAATTTTTCTCTTTCCAGTTTCCCATTTTTACTAAAGACAAACCATGGTAGGATTGGTTTGCTCTTTTATACTTGGCTTAATTATTTGTATACAGTGCAGCAAGAATAATTATTTTTTACATAGGCTTTTTTTTGTTGGGGGGAAGGAGAGATGGAGTCTGGCTCTGTCACCCAGGCTGAAGTGCAGTGGTGCCATCTCAGCTCACTGCAACCTCCACCTCCTGGGTTCAAGTGATTCTTATGCCTCTGCCTCCTGAGCAGCTGGGAATACAGGTGCATGCCACCATGCCCAGCTAATTTTGTATTTTTTAGTAGAGATGCAGTTTTGCCATGTTGGCCAGGCTTGTCTCGAATTCCTGACCTCAAGTCATCTGCCCACCTTAGCCTCCTAAAATGCTGGGATTACAGGTGTGAGCCACCATACCTGTCCTACTTGGGCTTTTAAATTGGCTTTGATGGAACATTGTTCCATAGGAGGAATCTCGGATAAGACTTTTAAAAGCCAAGCCCTGCCACCAATTTGTGCCATCAAATATCTATGAGTTGGGTGACCCTCTCCTCTTGAGGATCCAAGATAAACTTGGAGCTTCTGAACCTGTCAGAGAGTGATATTCTTTGCTTACCACAAGTCAGGAACGCTTGTGTTACAGGGACTGTGTAGACAAAGGTATGAGGCCAGTTTTTACAAGGGGCTTTTATTGGGTCCATAAGTCAAGTTTGAGTCCTTAAAGAAAAGCACACAGTTCCAGTCATTCTTTGTAAAATAACCAGTTTCTCCAGTTGTGTCCTGTTACAAATGAAAACAGAATCTTATTGCATTTATGCAGATAACTATATTGTCATAAGTTAAAAATGCTCATGAATAGTTTCCAAATTCTGGAGAAATCAGGTAGAGAAAAACAAATATGCTCCAAATTTTGTTGGTAGGACTATACTCAATTGTTAAAAGCTGTAATAATGTAAAAGGAAAGTTTTCTTAATGCTAAAAAACAAAGGATCAGCAACGTTTTAAGAAAAAAGTTAAAAAGATTACTTTAGACTTCTATCAGTTCAGTTATGCAGTCAATTCCTGTTCTGTATGATATTCATGAACATTTCAGCTCTTTATGAGAGTCCCGAAAGTTTCTTTTTTTTTTTTGTGGGGGGGGAGGAAGGCAGGAAGGAAGGGAATAAGGACGGTAGGGAGGAAGGAAGGGATGAAGGAAGGAAGGAAGGGAGGAAGCGGGGAGGGAGGGAGGGAGGGAGGGAGGGAAGGGAAGAAAGGAAATCAAGCAATGAAAGAGACATTGCCGACCTGGATCTAGAGGTTTACAAGTTGATTTCTTTTTTTTTGAGAGAAGGAAAGAAAAAAAAAATAAGTAAAGGAGAGGAAGAAAGAGGGAGAGTAAATGGAAATATTGCTTTATTTTGAAAAAAATTGGGTATTAATAATGGCCAATCAATGTTTCATTTAAACTAATGGGTAGGTGTGATGTGGTATTGACAAGAATGTATATTTTGTGTATTTGAAGTGGAGAGCTCTATAAATATTTATTAAGTTTACTTGTTCCGGATCTGAGTTTGAGTCCTTGATATCCTTATTAATTTTCTGTCTCATTGAATCTAAGTCTCCTATCTGGGTGTTAGGATCGTTAGCTCTTGTTGTTGCATTGATCCTTTTACCACTATATCTTTGTTGCTTTAAAATCTATTTTATCCGATACAAGAATTGCAACTCCTGCTTTTTATTTATTTATTATTTATTTTTGCTCTCCATTTGGTTGGTAAATCTTTCTCCATCCCTTTGTTTTGAGTCTTTGTGTATCCTTGCATGTGAAACAGGTCTGGATGTAACATGCCGTTGGGTTTTGGCTGTGTCTTTTGATTGGGAATTCAGTCAATTTAAATTTAGGGTTGCTGCCATTTGATGTTGACTGCCTGTTTTATCCATTTGTTGGTGTAAATTCTTCTTTATGTTGGTGCTCTTTACTTTTTGGTGTATTTTTAGAAAGGCTAATACTGGTTGTTTCTTTCTGTGTGTAATGCTTCTTTCAGAAGCTCTTGTAAAGCAGGTCTGGTGGTAATAAAATCTCTGAATTCTTGCTTGTTCATAAAAGATTTTATTTTTCCTTCAGTTGTGAAGCTTAGTTTGGCTGGATATGAAATTCTGGGATGAAGGTTCTGTTCTTTGAGGATGTTGAATATTGGCCCCCACTCTCTTCTGGCCTATAGAGTTTCTGCCGAGAGATCTGCTGTAAGTCTGATAGGCTTGCCTTTGTGGGTAATCTGACCTTTCTCTCTGGCTGCCCTTAGTATCCTCTCCTTTGTTTCAACCCTGGTGAATCTAACGATTATGTGCCTTG